GCGTTTGGGCCTTTCTATTTTGTTGTAGTGATAAAAATGTCAGTCGGTAATCGTAAACTTTACATTCTTCGTCTTTCCGATTACGTAAATATGAAAAATGTATGTTAAAATATATTTTAACTTAAAAGATATATTTCCGATAAAAATGTATGTTAAAACATATTTTAATTTTTTTACGTAATTGGTTAAGAAAATGTTAAGTTAGAGCTTAAAAGGACTCTAAACGCGAAAGTTTTTCCTTGCAAAAATATGAAAAACCCTAGCCGTCATCATAAATTTATGGAATTAATATTTTAGTGTTTCATTAGATTTATAGAAATTACAGCTAATTCATAGGAGAAAAAGTATTTATTTAAATTCATCCACAAAATGGAGTTGTTGATCAAATTTCGGTAACTAAGATTTACAAAATCTATATGGATTACGAAAAAAATACGATTTAATTCAAATCTAAAATAAATTTGTTATGACTTATTATTAGAGGACAATTTTTTTTGGTCGAAGGAAAATTTATGAGAGATGACTATAGATAAATTTTCTCCAAAACGTTGAATCGCCATCATGAAGCCATGAATGATCATTTTTTCTTAGTTGTGTGTTGAAATCTAAAACAATGAACTAATTATGTTTCAAATTTTGCTTAGAATGTTTACTTTGATCAATCAACTCTAGTAGTTAGGCGACATACATACAACTTTTAACAAATTGAAATTAAGTCATTCACAAACTTTCCCTAACGAATTCATTTAGGACATGTTTTCAATAGTCAACTAAAATACAGAATTGACCAATATAATTACTGTGGAATGGGGTGTACCATAAAATTACCAACAATGTACATACAAGATGTGTCTACAACAAACAACAAACAACAATACATATAATAACATTTCGTATAAATACTGGAAACGATACACCTGAATCAAATTGTGATATACCAATACAAATCAATCTTGGTATGCCGAACCAACCCTAACCGAACCACGATTTTAACCACTATGCAAGAACTAAAAATGAGATTGAAGCAAATGTGCAAAGACTAAGCAAATACATGTAAGCATCAAACTTTCCTTTTCGTTTTAGCTTGCTAAAGGAGGACTCTCTCTAGGTGGCGAGCTCGAGGTAGGAGATTCGAAACTCGGGTTTCCAGGGCAAGACTTAGCGAATTGGCAATACCGGCATTTCCATCGTTCTTCTTCTGGAGTGTACTCAGCTTCTCGTTCACTTCTCCAAAACCCAATGGCTTCTCTGTATTTGCTCATCACCCATTCATGATCATGAGGGAATCTAATCTCAGCTATTATAGATTGATCCTTCTGAAACTCGTACCTGAGATAAAGTTACCCAATCAGCTAAAAGTTCTGCTACGGTCAGATTATCATATATGTATCAATGTGTTTTATAAGATTACGAAAGAGCCATCGTTTTCTTACCGTAGCAGTAATTGATCATTTGCTATTGGAAGCATCTTAAAAGTGTTTTCATAGTACCTCACTATCTCTTCAAGTGTCTGCATCGAGTAAAAGAATGTTAAGAATATTAATAAACTCATTTCCTAGTGAGTATATTTCCTTTCATATGAATACAACGAGGACTATCGAGAGACATCTTGTGCATAGTAAAAAATAGCATACCTGTGCTGGGATACCTGCATTTGCAATGTTATTTCTCACATCTTGCGATAGGACAAAGTGCCGATCCAAAGAGAAGTATTCGAAAAACCATCCAGTCGGGAATTCTTCTTTAACAACAGTGTCCCAAAGAAGCTTGTAAAGCATTACTTGAAGCCTTACAAACGTGATTGACATAAAAAATAGTTAGCATTGAACTTATTATGACAAAACAAAACCGAAATGAAGAGGTATGTATTTTATTTACTCTACAAGCACTTACCTTCCATTCCTTCTTTGTGGCTCAGCCGGGAGTGTGTCACGGCCTCGAGTCTTAGTATCTGTCAATAACGGTCCGATATCAGAGGATTCTTCGGGGGACGCCTTTCTAACCTCATCAATAATTCCTATAATCCATTGACCTCCAACAAATCCTAGGCTGATGATATACACAATGAATGAATCATTTGTCACTGATACATTATCAGAAATTGGTTTACACATGAAATCAAGGGTCTATAAAACGATCATGATACTAAAGCAAACCGGCAAAACCAAAGTTTCAGAATTTTGGAGCAAGAAAACTAATGGGAGACCAACTCCATTACTTCGAAAGGCAAAAATATTTGAAGTTTCGTTTCATGTAAAGTACAAAACATGATCTTGCTAACAAAAGATGGAAGCTATACAATGACAGAAACAGAATCGAAACTAGAGGTGTAGAAGGAAGGAACTCACATTAACAATTCACGGGTTCGTCCTTCAAACAAGAATTGATTAACACCAGCAATGGAACTTAATAGCTTCAAAGCCCACTTATCTTCATTTGATTCAACTTTTACTCTGACCTTCTTAACTACCTGCTCATCATTTCAACAAATTGTTCACAGAATGATATAAAACTCTTTCACAATAAATCATGTTCTCATACCTCTTCTTCAAGCTCTAAATGACGAGCTTGACCAAGTTTCATGGCTTTGCTGACTTTTCTCCTACCAAAACAAAGAACATTCTCCATTTGCTTCTCACACCATTCCTACGAAACGAACCAACACAACAAAATCAACAATAGAAGATCAATCGGATCTGGATGAGCGAAATGTATGATAGATTTAAGGGAGAGGAGGTGAACGTACTGTGCCGGTGAGATCTGTGACACCCAAAGCTTGATTTCTTCTAAACCGATGCAAATAAGAGTCTTCGATATCTGAACAAGCGGATAATTTCCTTTTGGAGAGCATGGTTACTGAACGGAGAGTCCTGGAGGTTTCTCCGGCGAGGAGCCGTGACGGAGAAGAAGCCGAACGGATCGCGGAAGGGAGGAAGGAGCGCGTGGCTGCAAGCGCTGCATCGAGAATAGCCATTTCTTCTTCACTGACGATCTCGATTGGGATCTCGGGGAAGGAGGCATGGTGAGATTTGGGGGTTGAAATAGCGACAGTTGCGGATTGATCGGGATTAGAGGATGTGGTGGTAGGCGAGTCGGAGGTTGACTCGGAGGGTGACTCGGCCATGTTTGTGGTCTTGTTGTCTTTCGTAGCAACGTAAAAAGAAAAAAAAAAATTGCAATTAAAAACACTTAACCGTTGGGAATTAGTGCAAGTGTAACCTTAATTTTTTTAGTGTTATATGCTTTTTTGTGAATTGATGTCACAAAAATAGATTAAAGTTTTTGTGAATACTTTATTAGCGTTGCGTGTTCAGTGTGCTCATTTTCAAGACCAAGTATTCTATGGTAAGATCCATGTATTATTTCAGTGTTATATATTAAAGTTTGAGAACATGATTAAATCAATTAATGTTCTTAAACTTAACATGCATTTACTATGAATTTAGAGTCTATAGTATTGCACATATGAACAGACCTTATGTTACAACAAGCATAATAAACAAGTAAACATTATACACTCCCAAGTCCCAACTTTCAAGTAATGTCTTAATCGAATAAATATGCCAACATATTGTAATCTAATCATTGACCAAACCACAATTCGCTGATCATCTTAGGCCACAACCGGGTACGATGCACATGTAGCAACACCTGCAATCGAAAGAACCAATCAAAAAAAGATAGAGAGATATCCAACATCATGGTGTTATGGTACAATGATTGTTTAAAGAACTTACCACACATGTTCTTCCCCATCTCCATCTTGAAGTAGCCTTTATCTCCCCAATCCCCTCCCCATGAGTTCTTAATAAGCCAATACGGAACACCGTCTTCGATTCCATAACCAACCGCCAAAACCGCGTGGTTCACATCCTATTACCAGACACAAAAAAACCGAATTGAACACTAAGCTAAGAGCCTAAGATGATTCTATTTGCAACAGTTTAAAGAAGAATTGAAGAAAGCCTCACCATTGGAGTACTTCCACAGTCACCACTAGTGTAAACTCCGCTCTTGTATAGCCGGAATGACTTTACAACCTCGAATGCTACGCTTACTGGCCTTACCAATCCAACTGCGTGCTTCAGTTCATCTTCTGCGCCCTGTTCATTGATTCAATGTTACATAAATGTATATTTTTTCAGGCGGGTGAAAATCATAATCCGTCAAAGAAGCTTACCAGAGTAATGTTGACTGAGTCGAGGACTTGTACACCGACGTTTTCCGCTGAATATTTGCAGGTTCCATCTTTACCAGTGTAAGGATAAGCTGCTTCTGTGTCGAGGCCACCGTTGGATTTGATGTATTCGAAGGCTTGAGAAGGAAGGCCACCATTGCAGCCATAGTTATTGAAAGCTCCAGCACAATCCACAAGCTGTTGCTCAGAGAGAGATATTCCTTTTCCAAATGCCTGATGGTAAGCTGCCTCTAGAGCTCCAGTTGTGCTGCAGTACAAAAATCAATCATATGACATACAGAATATATTGACCTTCAATTTTACATCATGAGATCCGACCAAAATTTGATGAGATATAAAGTATCCTTAACGTAGGCTTTACCTGAATGTCCAGCAAGATCCACAACCTCCCTGGTCTTTGACTGGGCTAACAATACCATCTTCTCTCCAGTCTTTCTGCAGTTACACAATTTAAGAACTCAGAACAAAATTAGAAAAAAAAAAAAAGAGTCTGCAGCTAAACACGTTGTCTTAAAGCTGAAGAACAGAAACATGATAGTTTCATTGCAGCAAGATTGAGTCGTGGACTTACGGTTTCTGGAAGAGGTGCTTCTGTGAGTTTGTGGCTGCCCTTTAAAGTAGCAGAGCAGTTTTGAGCAGCACCAAGCTTGGTCCTTTGAAACTCTTGCCATGTCAAATCAGCAAATTCTGTATGCATTCAATTAGACACTTAGCAATCTTTCCCTAGGACAAACAAGAATCTGACCCCACAAAGAACCATCTTGAATCAAGACAGCTAAAATCATAAAAGAAGCAGAACAATAAATTTGATGCTGAGTTTTCACGCAAACTAGTCTCTCATACTCGTAAACTCTGCAAACATTAGACCAATAACAATCTTGAATCACGTGAATCAAAGCAAAAGCCAAAACTTAAACTTTTAAATAACCCACGTTGAAGATCCCAATACGGAAAAAGTTCGTTTCCACGTTTCCCACAATGTTTTTGTTTATAAGTTCTTCCAATAGACTACAAAGATAAACTTACGATTGACACCGAGTTTGTAAGATAAGCCTTTTTTGTTGGTGGATCTGATTAAATCCACATTCTCCTTGAAAATCGTGAATCGGAGCTTAATCTCCTCCGGGCTCAGATACCTTTTCCCGTACCTTCAACACCAAAACGAAGAGCTTTTTGTTAATCAAAAACCCCAAAAAATGAACTGAATTAAGTCAACGGCGATGGAGGACAGGACTTACCGGTGAGCGAAGCGAGCGAAGGAGAGAGCGTGACGAGACTGGCCTAAGATCTGGACAACGGATTCCTCTAGCTCCCGGAGACGATCGGAGACCATACGGATCGGGTTTGACTCATCGGATCCGATATCCGTCGCCGACGATGCGGCGATGAGAATCACCAGAACCACCGATGATAGGATTGTTCTCACAGACATGGCTTTCTTCTTCTCTCTCTCGTTCTGGCTACTTTTTCGTTCTCACTCGACGCTTCTGCTTCTTTAGTGTTTTTAGCTCGAGCGATTGTGAGAAGAAGAAGAGTAGAAGACGTAAAGAGAGATACAGACGGGAACATTATCGAGACACGTGGGGGTTTGTGAATGGACAGTATTTGTCCTATATACTTGGAATGATGACGTGTACGGTGATGTCATTGTATTCCAACGAAGAAATCAATCATACTTCTTGATACTTTCATGATTTTTATACGGAGAATTTCAAAACAACCCTTGTATTATGGCGTAATTCAGTCGATAACCGTAACGTTTCATTTTATTAATTTATGACCCACAATCTTTGAAACTTGCTCCAAATTACAGATAAGTTCCTTGTTTTGCCTCAATAGTCGTGGTCTAGCACTTGATTGTCTCCCCTTGTTGGTGCTGCTGCTTTGAACTTCTTTCAAATCAAAATTCCTTATCTTATTGAATCCATCAGTCATTGTCTTTAGAGATGAACCCCATGAGCCAAATTCTAATATTTCTTCCACCATTTCATCATTATCAGTAGATGCATCGAGTTCTGGACGAAACAATGGCACTTT